AACAATTAAAAATTCTCCTCTCTGCCACTGTAGAGTATCAACCCATCTTTAAACTGGGCCTTAGGAATTACCACATGGGAATCGAGGTGAAGAAATTAATGAAAGTCCCGCAGGGAGTGACTAGCACCCCTGAAAATACCATGTGGAAGTTTCTCTGTCCTAGTAAGATTTTATCGATAAGATGAGCAATTGTTTTATTGCTCAAAGAGGGGAATGTAAGAATATTAAATAGTTAACTTGTTTATATGTATTTTATGCTTTTATAAGGTTTATAAAATGATTATTGCTGACTGAAGGGATATTGAATACTTAAAGTCAATATGCTGACTGTGACAGACTAAGGTATTTCTTCTATAGGATGTAAGACAATGCTAAATTTCAGGATGTCTTGCCCATTCCGATTTTAAGGATATTCTTTTCCAGACGTATGCAAAAGCTTATCTTTCCATTGTCAGAATAACGTAATACAAGGAAGTAATAAATCTTATAGTCTGTACTGTATTTGCATATACCATGGCTAATGTAAGCAAACTATGTATAAAAGCCAGCTCTGGAATACACTCATTTGAGAGTCTTGTAAAGCTGTTGTCCGTGTGTTATTGCTTACAAATGATTCTCCATCAACATTGATTATGGTGACCGAGGGATCGAGAACCGAGGGGATTAGAGTCCATTACAACATTAACCCTTTCAGAGGGTGTTTCATATTATTAAGCAGAGCACCATTTTCATGCAATATGGGGAAGAAAAATGATCTCTCTGCTGCTGAAAAGAGTGAAATATTTCAATAATATGTATGTGTAGACCACCCAGGTGCAGCAATATATACAAAATAAAGGTAATTACTTCACTTATATGTCAGGGTGTAACAAAAGGATTCCTCAAAATCCTCAAAAGTCAAATATAAAATATAAGATACACCTAAAAGATAAAGGCAGAGATAAAATTCATAGGGTAACACTATGTGATGAAAAGTGGCCCCTTGGTAATAATAATACACTCACAAGATGTACGGATATTATGAGCCCATCAAGGTTCCTTTAAGTACTCAGCTACAGACGTCCTCAATGTCCCAGGATACATGTCAAAAAGAAAAAACTGGACATAGTACAGTAGTGCTTAAAATGTAAAAAAGACACTTTAGTTAAACACACTTACAGGAAGTGAAAGATAAAAATGCTCATCAATAAGTCTCTGTGTCCCTCTGTTTCAGCTGGATAGGAGACAGGAATAAGCAGCAATACAAAGCTCAACGCATTTCGTCTCTTAATATAGACTTCCTCAGGAGAAAATGAATTAAAATACAATTGTAGCAGCAAAGAATAAACATTACAAAGTATAAAATGTCCAAAGTTCCTTTTAAAGATCCCCCCGTCTTGTTTCCATTGGTTCCGCCAATCAGGGACACTGAGGTCACCTGTCCGCAGTTTCTTCATTAACTTGTGGCCATATATGGACTTCCGTTTTTCTTCGTGGAACGCATATGCGTTCCACCTATCGGCTGTTCAAGAAGACGTCATCGGTCTGTGCGTGGAATGGGGAAAATCTCAAGACACAAAGCTGGATATGAAAAAATAAATGTATTGAACAAAGTTACACACAGTTACCAGATAATAAAAATATATTGAGTTTGGTAAAACAAGCCATATGTGTAAAGTAAATTACATCTGATATGCATTGGATATACATTGTAGAGCACTTCTCACAGAGAGCAGTGATTAAGGATATCACAAGCTATATAGGTGCCAATTCAAAAAAATTCTAAAAAAATGAAAAGGAAAAAATAAATGAATGTAAAAAAATAATGAATATGAATAAATAAATAAATAAATAAATAAATAAAATAAGGATACAATTAATATAGAAATAAGAATGAAAATGAAACTAAAAATAAATATAAAAATAAAAATAAATGTAAATATAAAAAAAGATGAAAAAAAAATGAAGATGAAAAAAATATAAATAAAATTTAAATTAAAATAAAAAATAAATATAAAATAAAATAAAAATAATAATAATAATAATAATAATGATTAAAAAAATAAAAATAAAAATATAATAATAATATAATAATAATAAAGAATAATAATTAAAGAAAACAAATCAAATCAAAATCCACATTCAACCCGAACGGTTTAAGTGTTTTAAGCTTGTGAATCCAAAATCCTTCCCTCTGTCTGAGTCTCATGACAATATCACCTCCCCTTACACCCAGTGATATTTGTTCTATTACGACCCAAGAGAAAACATGTGTGTCAAAAAGCGGACACCTTTTACAATGAACTGGAACAGAGTGATTTAACATCCCTTTATGGATGTTATTCCTATGTCCCAGAAAGCGTACCTTAGCTTTCCTCACTGTCCTCCCAACATATTGTGCTCCACATCCACACGTGAGGAGATACACAATGTGTGTGGAGGAACATGTGACTTGTCCGTGAATTTTAAATTCCTCTTTGGTAACAGAGCTATAAAAGGAAAACATGTGGAGGGGCTGTCCTCTACATGCCTTGCATGTTCCACAGGTGTGGAACCCCTTAAAGTTATTAGTTTGAACATGAGTCTTCTTCTGAAAAAGACTTGGTGTAAGAAAACTTGAAAGGTTACTTCATTTTCTATAGATGATTTTAGGGTGTTTCGGGAGCTGAGGACCTATGTATTCATCGTACTTAAGAATGTTCCAATATTTTTTAAATATTTTATTAATGGCAAAGGTTTTAGAATTGTATTGAGTGTTAAATGAAAATTCAAAAGATCTATCCGAGTTATTAGTTGATTTAACTTTATTCATCAAAAGATCTCCTCTTTTGATATTCCCAATTCTTTTGACTTCTAGATCTAATGTTCCTCTCTCGTACCCCTTCTCTACAAATTTTGTGGTTAGGATTTCAGCTTGTTCCATATAAGTACTTTTATTGGAACAATTGCGTCTCAGTCGAGTATATTGGCTCTTAGGGACCCCTGCTAACCATCTCGGATGATGTCCGCTCTTGGATTCAATAAAACTATTAGTATCAGTGGGCTTAAAGTAAGTTTTAGTTTAGATCTGAGAATCTTCAATGAAAATGGTCAGATCCAAAAAATCGATGGAAATTGAACCGAATACTGGGCTGAAAATTAAAGAGAGGATATTATCATTAAGATACCAGAAGAAGTCAAGTAGTTGTTCTTCAGACCCCTTCCATATGACAAGGATGTCGTCTATATAACGACACCAGAGCACCAGGTTTGCCGCATATGGATTATTGTCCCAAATGGACTTACGTTCCTAAAAATCCATAAAGATGTTGGCATAACTTGGGGCAAACCTGGTGCCCATGGCTGTTCCCTTGATCTGCAGGAAGTACTCATCATTGAACATGAAAAAAATATGAGTTAATATAAATTCAATGGCTTCTAATAGAAACCCTGCAAATGCTTGGTTTAAAGATGTATCTCTGTCTAGATTATCTTTGACAGCTTGTATACCAAATTGATGATCGATCACTGTGTACAATGAGCCTACATCTAAGGATGCCCACATATAATCGTCATGCCATTCAATGGAGTCCAACTCCTGCAGAAGGTGTTTAGTATCTTTCAAGTAGGATTGGGCTGATTGAGCATATACTTGTAAGGAATGATCAATAAACTGGGATAGGTTAGATGTTAGTGAATTAATACCACTAATAATGGGTCTACCTGGTGGATTAACTTTGCATTTGTGTACTTTAGGCAAGAAATAAAAGGTCGGAATCCTGGGATTTTCCTGATAAAGAAACTGGTAGATCCCGGTATCTATTACTTCTTGTTGGACTGCTTTCTACAATAAGGTCTTCAATTGAAATTTGAAAGCCTCATTGGGATTCTTAGAGAGTCTAGTGTACATATTTGTATCCCCCAATAATCTATAAAATTCCCCCAAATAAAATTCGACGGTCATCACAACAATGCCCCCCACTTGTCAGCATTTTTAATTATGATATCGTCCCTCTTTTTTAAGTCATTAAGAGTCTGTACCTCATGCTTAGACATATTATTACAATATTCCTTCTTGTTGGTTATATTTTCGAGGTCTGACATCACCATCTTATTAAAAGTCTCTATTTGAACCCCTTTGTCATAAGGGCAAAAAGTTGACCGGGGATTACATTTCTTAAGAGAATCCTGATCAGACGTGTAGTCATATTCTCCTCTTAAAGGTTCTTCCAATTGTTTCTTAATGAAGAACCTTTTGAGGCTTAATTTTCTAACCTGGTGCTCTGGCGTCGTTATATAGACGACATCCTTGTCATATGGAAGGGGTCTGAAGAACAACTACTTGACTTCTTCTGGTATCTTAATGATAATACCCTCTCTTTAATTTTCAGCCCAGTATTCAGTTCTATTTCCATCGATTTTTTGGATCTGCCCATTTTCATTGAAGATTCTCAGATCTTAACTAAAACTTACTTTAAGCCCACTGATACTAATAGTTTTATTGAATCCAAGAGTGGACATCATCCGAGATGGTTAGCAGGGGTCCCTAAGAGCCAATATACTCGACTCAGATGCAATTGTTCCAATAAAAGTACTTATATGGAACAAGCTGAAATCCTAACCACAAAATTTGTAGAGAAGGGGTACGAGAGAGGATCATTAGACTTAGAAGTCAAAATAATTGGGAATATCAAAAGAGGAGATCTTTTGATGAATAAAGTGAAATCAACTAATAACTTGGATAGATCTTTTGAATATTAATTTAACACTCAATACAATTCTCAAATCTTTGCCATTAATAAAATATTTAAAACATATTGGAACATTCTTAAGTACGATGAATACATAGGTCCTCAACTCCTGAAACACCCTAAAATCATCTATAGAAAATGAAGTAACCTTTCAAGTTTTCTTACACCAAGTCTTTTTCAGAAGAA